AGAGATAATTAAGTAGGGAAAGCTGGTAGTAGCAAGATTCATTCCCAGTCAGAATTTCCTTTGAATTCTCTGGATGACAGCTGGGACTGAAGTTATGTCATTAAAGAAGTATATTCAGCTTGAGAAAAGGCTTTCTACTTCAAAAGTCTCCTGCTAAAGTGAAAAAATGATTAAAGGAACCAACCCCAGTTTTTCTTATTTCTTCTCCTAATTTAAATGATGGCTATTAGGGGAAAACCCTGAACGATGTTAGGAACACTCCTCAGAAAAAGAGTAGATAAAGAGACATTAAAGAGTTTAGAAACTGAAAAGCCCCAGGCTAAGATCTGGTAACACTTTACAGTTTTAAAAATAATATTTAAATATAAAATATACACTAATGAAATTATTGATCTTATCAAAACCACTTATTCCAAAACTACTATCTAACAAATTTATTAAAATAGTAATCTTTTAGAGCCAGCTCCATAACCTAATGATAAGATAAGTTGAATCCCCAATGGCCAACCACTATTCAAATACCATGGTTCTAATTCTGGCCTCGACAGCTTGAAAACCATGCCAGGCACAGTTGCCTGCACATGCCAAATCCCTAAATGATGGAGAAATGGAAGACTGGGAATTGCAATGTGACTGCGTCCCATTGGGGATGCTTTCTCCCTCTCCCTCTGTATAGTGTGTGTGTGTGTGTGTGTGTGTGTGTGATTATATAATTAACTCTCTGCACTGATTCAGTTTATCTCCAAAGATGCTGGCATACTTTAGAGAAGAAGCAGACATAAAGTCTATGAAGATATCAGTAAGCAGGGAATTGGGTAAGGGGCTCGGCCCATTTCTAAACAGGCTCTGAAGACTTCACATTCCTAGGCCAAAAAAATTTTTGCCTAATGCCTTACAGCAGATAGTCTGTGGGGGGAAAAAATTAGATTAGCAGAGAAAAGATGGAGTGGGAGGATTTCTCTTACAATATTATCTAGTCTACAGCCTTAGAGTTGGACTATTGCTAATGTCCAGGCTACAAAGGAATTGAGGGGGCAGGGGGGTAAGGACTCCAGTGTATGAAACACTTTTTAGTGTTATTAACATTACGAAGGACAGGGAAGTGAAGAGTGATTGTCCACTATGACTCTAATTTTACCTAAATAATGACAAATAAAGAACCAGCAGAAAACATAATGATTACGTCGCTGGACTCCCACATAGTTGACTGCGGTTCGAGTCCTGGACCCGGTGGCTTCAAACTCACACCAGGTGTGTAGGCGTGCAGGCCCAAACTCCCAAGAGGAAAACAAAGAAGGGATTGCAGAGCAGTCATCTCCCCCAGGGGCTGATTTTTCACTTTCTGTCTCTTTGTCTCTGTCTCTCCAGGCAAGCACACACACCCTATAGCAAAAATCTCTCTTAAAAAGAGAAAAAAAGGACAAATAAGAGAAAGTGAAAATAACTTCACCAAACAGAATCTGAGAATAATTATCTTGTTACAAAAACTTTCTCTTGATCAATGAGTTTCCAAAGGCATTAAGAATAATATTCAAATTTATTTTAGAAAAGAAGCGATTTGCACACGCTTCAGCTACATTAAGAGGTTAACACTACATTTTCTAAACTGTGCCAGCACCAAGGAAGGAACCAGCATCCAGCCAACTCCACTGCATGCCCACTGTGCTCATACAACAGTTATTAACAACCAAGATGCTGGCAACTACTACTTTTCTTCTTTACGTTTGCTTGGGGGCAATTTTTATTATCCTATTAATATTTCCTGAACTGTCCACAATACTAAATAAAACAAAAGCTCTAATATAGAGAAATGATATTAAAAGAAAAGATACTGTGCTCAATTCAATTCTAAGTCAACTATGAGTAAAAATAAGTCATAAGACAAGTTTCCTTTCTCCCTCAGGCAATGAACAATAAGAATAACTTCAACCCAGCTGCTTCCTCAATAATCACACCAATGATGAAAACAGAAAGTAGAAATCTAAATAATCAAGAATTTCAAATCAGAGCACCCATGACATAAGAGGTATCAACATATAATGTTCTCTCCTTCAATATGTAAAAAATGCCAAAGTTTCAAAAACACAGATCTAGAATGGTATACCAAGTGACAGTTTATTAAACAAACATAGGCAAGGTACAGAGAGCCTTAGGTACACAGATCCTTAGCTACAGTAGATAAAACAGGAAGACATAGATCTTCACCATCAAGAAACTTACACAATGGGACCAGCAGTTGGCATAATGGCTACGTCACTGGACTCCCATGTAGTCGACCACAGTTCGAGTCCCAGACTCAGTAGATTAAACTCACACTGGGTGCATGTGTGCGTGTGCCCAAGATCCCGAGAGGAAATGGAGGAGAAGGGATTGTGGCATGGCCATCCCCCGGGGTGGTGGTGGGGGGGTGATTTCTCACCTTCTGTCTCTTTGTCTGTCTCTGTCTGTCTGGCGAGCGAGCGCATGCGCCCTATAGCGAAAAATCTCTCAAAAAAAAAAAAGAAATAATAGGTAGATGGGACCAGCAGTTGGCATAATGGCTATGTCACTGGACTCTCATGCAGTCAACCGCAGTTCGAGTCCCAGACCTGGTGGCTTAATCGCACGCCGGGCGCATGTGCATGAGTGCCTAAGATCCCGAGAGGAGAATGGAGGAGAAGGGATTGCGGTATGGCCCTCCCCCCTGTGGGGGGGGGGGGTGATTTCTCACCTTCTGTCTGTCTGTCTCTGTCTTTCTGGCGAGCACACACGCCCTATAGCAAAAACCTCTCCAAAAAAATAGGCAGGAAAAATTACATTTCAAATGTTACCAACAACCTGGATGGGACTCAGGAATAAGAACTAAGAACTAAGTTCTGTCCTGGTATTAATAATCAGGAAGGGAGTGGACAGGTTCCTAAACCTGCCAGGCAACAGTATTCTCAACTGTAACATGCAGAGGAAACTAGGCAAAGAATGGCAAGTGTTTTTATTTCTTCAAAAGCCAATTTCAATTGACTGTTAGTGACTGCCTCGAACTCTACTGAGGCTGTTAGATTCCTGTTAAGTAAAAAGCTATGTCCTGTGTTCCTTGTCTTCAGAAGCTGGGTGTGTATTTGAGATGGTGCTACTGACTTACCGTGATGTTCGAGTTGTTTTTCCAGTAGCACTGACTTCTTGTGCTCCTCGGTCTCACTTGCAATTCAACTCTTGGAAGCAACAAAATGTAGCTGTGTAACTAAGTACTTCCCTGATTCTGGACAACAGATAACACCACCTAACATTTGTTGATGTTTAATATAGAGCTGGCACTGTTCTAACCACTTAACCCATATTAACACATCTCATCTTCATAACAACCTCTATGATATTTAGTCTATTATTACCATCTCTATTTTAGAGAAGAGACAGCCAGGTGTTATTTACTTACTAGGTGGAATATATTGTCTAAGGCTTCAAGAGAGGTGACACTGCCAGAAACTGACCTTAAGCAGCCTGCCTCCAGATCTACTTTGAAACACTCTGCTTAATTCTTCTCTGTCAACTGAGCAATGGTCAAATTCATGACTTCAGTTTTATTAATGCTATGCACTCAGTAAGCCAGAAAGCCAGGCTTTATGGTGGTGTAAGTCAATATTTTATCTGCAGTCCTGAAATGTTTACACTCTCCAAGGGTCCTGGATTCTGGCAAATAGCACTCAAATTACCCCTACCTTAAATATTGGCAGAGTATCTTACTTGGCATTTTTTTTTAAATCAAAACCATCTGATAAACTATTCATTCCACCACATAAAATAAACTCTCTATTCAGAAGACTCCTCAATAAAGAAGAATTTAATGGTTAAAACAATGCTCCCCTTAAGAGAATGTCAATCAGAAGACTGGAGAGAGGGGTTAGCCCCTTAGCCCAACAATTAAGTGCCAGTGCATAAAAAGCTGGATTCCACATGGCAGGGCATGATTCAAATTCCAGCCCCAGCAACTTATAATACATGGCAGGTGCTTGTCCATGCTGCCCCAAATCCTGAGAGGATAAACAAAAAAAGGAAAAAGTATTGTGGCATGACCATGGCCATCAAAGCGTGACGGTCACTCCAACACTCACTGTATCTAACTGACATATGCATGTGCCCTCTGGTAATTTAAAAAAAAAAAAAAAAAGAAGAAAACTGAAGAAAGTTGGAGGTAGGAGGCAACTCCTAAAACATAAATCTTAGAAATATCAGCAGTGTGCAGAGAATATCTGATAACTGATTATTTTACAGCACTTTTCAATTGTTATACCAAGCACCACCTCTGACCGTACAGGGGTGCAAGAAAGTATATGGCAGGAGGTTTAACTGAATGGTAATTACTAACAAATTTCCAGAACTTGTAGAAGGTTGATTTTCTAAATAAATGCCACTTCCCAAAAGATTTGCTAAATACATTCTTATTAATCCTCATTAAGGGAGTATAAACTTGGCCCAAAAAAGCAGACTTCAAGGAATAACAGTATAGGAAAAAGTTTAATGAATTTATTACATATATACTATTCTAACATGTGGAATATCCTCGAGTGTTCTCATTGTACATTTTTACATATTATACATATCACATACATTAAACCAACTAGAGGGCTTATCTCTAACTTCAAAATACATGATATGAAATTTAACTTTTTTAAAATTCCCATCCCCAACATCAATAATAAGAAATTCATACTGAGGCTTTAAATATTTAAAGTACAATGTAAAAACAGAACTATATAGAAAATGAAAGTTAAATGGTATATTAAGAAATTTCAAAAGAACCAGTCTTAAGAGGAAATCAGAAGTTTTTAAAGAAGCATTTTAGTTGGTGAAAAAATGTCACTGATGGTGGTTAACAAACTCTTCATGATCCTCAACAGAAAAGGGATGGAAGGTACACACCCAATTATATACCATGCATATATACTACTATCAGCCAGTGTCTTTATGCCTGTTACGTTAGTTACTTTACGTAACAGTTTTAAAAAGCAAAGTTCTAATGTTTTTCTCCAAAATGAATTACCTTCCATGCTTAGAGACCATAATATATAAAAATTTCATGATTTCTAACTGTCCTGTAGTCACAAACTTAAAGTAGCAAATCATTTTCCTAACACAAATACTATTATTTAAAATGCTATATTTTAAATATATTACCCTCAGTGAGAATTAGTCTTCTGATCACAGATAAGGGCCAGATTTCCCCCTCTAAGTTACTTGTTCCTAAACTTTACAATGAGGGCCAGTAGGCTTGGGTTGTTTATTTTTTAATTGAGAACTAATGACACAAGAGATAGAGATACTATATCAAGAATAAGACAGACATATAAGGTTTGCCTTTCATCAGACAATTTTTTTCTAGACTTGACTCAATGAGAGTTATTAAGTATATCCATATTCTCCTTACCCTCCTAACACTAGAAAATATTTTTGTGTGCATGAAAAGCTAAAGGCCAGGAGAGCTAGGAGGAAGTCCTCTTCTGTATTCTCTTATAAAGACAGTTTTATGAAAAACAAATTAAGTTCACTTTTGGAAATGTATACCCACAACAGTGAAACCACAAAAAGGAAACAACAACAAAAAACTAAATACAGTAAGAGTTGGAAACATTTTTGTTGCCAATACTGCTTTACTCCTGACTGCAATGTTCTTCCCCAAGTTTAGCTCTGCCCAGTACAAATTTATTCTCAGGCACTAGGTCCTGGGGCTGCTGTGTTTTAAACTTTACTTGAGTGCTTGCTACTTGGCCACTTCTAACAGCGCTCTTGCACTTAACCCACTGATTACCTGTACCTAAACTGACAACCCTAGCTGGGTCCCCTTCTGCCTTCTGAAGCAACCCTTCTTGAGTGCTCCTTGGCCTTTTACAGTGGAGGCATGTGATGAGAGGATCTACACCAGCTGTCCCTAATTACCTCTCTGGCTGGGTCGAATGACTCAGCAACCCAACTTTTTCAGAGTCACCCTACCTTGTTATCCAACATATTGACAGTGGTAAACCACTTGACAGAGTTGCAGGTGAAACAGTTAAGAATAATACAAGATGACCCTACACCAAGCTGACTCACCAGCAGCCTATTTCCCCTCGGCTTCAAGATGTCCAAAGGCAAAAATGCCAAGTGCCTTCAAGCCCTCTCCAGACCGGCCCCGTTGCACCACTCACAACCCTAAGACCAGGAAGAAGAGACTGACCTCTTCCCATTTCTCTGCTGGACCATGTGAAGCGCTTGAGTGCTGTGCCACTAACTTGTCTGCGGTTTCCCTTCGATCATTCTGAACCGCCAGAAATGCAAACCCTCTGGGATCGAAGGACTGTTCAAATACACTATATGAACAAAGACCAAGTAGTGGCATCCTCCACGAATAACAGCCCCAATACTGATCGAATTCCCCAAAAACATTAGCATCCTACAAAACAGTCTTTGTTCCTGTGAACGTGGCCCTGTAGCTTGTTTTCCCACACACGTTCTTTCACAATTACTACTCTACTCTACCTCGAATCAGCCCAAGTGATCGCAGAAGGCTCGCTGCATACTAGCATTTCACACAATTCTACTCAATGACATGAAACTGCCGGGGAAGAAGGAGAAAGCAATGGCACTCGTGTTCCATTACACGAGCACAAAGCTGGTATCTCTATAATTAACACCCACTCTCTCCATACTGTGAGTCTTAATTACAACGTGACGGCAAAACTCCAACAAAGAGAGCCCGGGGATCTGGGGTCCCCAAAAGCGAGCTTCGCTCTAACCAGCTCCGCAAAGAAGTGTTTTTCCTCCAGCTAAGAATTCGGCCTTCCTTCCGCGATTCCACTCGCGACAGACACCCAGGCCAGGAAGACGGGAGGCAGCAGCTCGCCGGACCCGGGCTGCGGCGGGTGGCGGAGGGCGGGAGGACAATACGGGGCCCGGGCCGCGAGGGCGGTGCTGATGTGTCACAGCCGGGCGGGCCGCGGGCCGCGGG